CTTTACGGGTTTGAAGACTCAAGACTAGCAATCCATCATGCATGAAACATCAAAATAATGCATAATTTAAAGGAATAAACATAAACTTCATCTCAAAACATAATCCATGCAATACATGGTAGTAGGAACATGCATGAAACTCAATATTTCTCATTTTCATAGAAGGAACTCACTTCTCTACATCAAATAATTCTGAACACACATCATGGAGCCAACATGCAAGTAATCTAAAAAGCATACTAAAACATGTTCATTAAACATCTCACGAAGTCAAATAAGCAACTCATACAAATTCACAACAACATGAGAAACATAAATCATGAAAACCCATTTTCTCATTAAACATGAATTTCATCAAGAACATTTCATTTAATGAAACCATGGAAAACACATATTTCACGCATGACTCATAAAAAAAGGAAATTCTAGCGGAATTACCTCAAGCTTGAGAAGGAGCAGAAGGAAAGAGATGAGGGTATCAGGATTTCATATCGGCCTCGGCCTCCCAAGTAGCACCCTGAACTAAATGATTTCTTCACAAAATCTTTACAAAAGTTATTTTCTTGTTTCTCAATCTCTTGACTTGTCGATCAAGAATCTCTATCAAAACCTCTTCATATGATAGGCTTTCATAAAGTCTCAACTCCTCTAAAGGAATAATGGATGGGGTCCCTAATACACTTTTTAAGCATAGAACTGGGGCCAACTCATTTGGAAAGTCTAACTCATAGGCAACTTTCCTAATATGCTTCAAAATTTTATATGGGCCTACATATCAGGAACTAAGTTTCCCCTTTTGTTAAAATCTCATCACACCCTTCATAAGTGAGATTTTCAAATAGTCTTAATTTAATTAAGGCTAATTTATGTAGATTTGAAACTATAATTTATGTAATATTCCATTAGTGTCAATCAAAAAACTTGTTATTTATATAGACAACAGAGAATGTTCCTGCCATTTATATTATTTGACCCTTATTCTAAAATAGTTATTCCGATTCACTTGTCCAATTATTAAAATCGAAATAATTTTTAAATATTTTTATTTCTACCCTTTAGTATTGAATAGTTGCATAAAGTAATAGTAGTCGTAAAATATACGCATTCTTAATACACCGCTTAATGCATAGTCTACTGAAATGAAGGTCATAAAATAATACTAAATTTTGTCACGAATTCCTAAAATTATTCTACTTAAAATGTTAATGAACTTAAAGAAAAAGTTTTTAATACCTATGTTAAAAAATAAATTATATACATGATAAAGAAGTATTACCTAATATGTGATATATATAACAAGGGTAAAATGAGCAATACATATAATTAAGGGAGAAGTTTGATTATTGTTCAAAGTTGAGAGGGAGTTTGATTTTTAAGCAAAGTTGGGGGATGAAAATGATTTCACCTCAATTAACTGAATTGATTGATTTAATTCTTTATTATTATTATTACTAAAACTTATTTCATATAATATATAAAATCCAAATGCATAATTTTCACATGAAATTTATAAGCAATCATAAAGGGGCATCATCAATTTCAAGGTTGCAACATGAATTTTATCAACCAATTAGTATTTCATTAATATTTATTACCATCAAATCTATCAAAGAATATACTAACCCATAATAGATCAAAATAATAAAATAAATTCCTTTGACCATAAATTATGTCAATATTAAGAGTACAAGTACATTTAATAATTCAGAAAAATTGTTTATAAGATATTTAGAATATAAATAAATTTTTCTAATTGATATGTTTAAAACACAAAAAATAATACATTAGCAAAATAATTTGGAATGAAGCTATTCACATAGTCAAGATTAGTTGTAGTAAATGAAGGGATAGAATCAAATTTGAACGGATTGAAATCGATCAATATAAATAAATAATAATTCTACCTGGTCATATTTAATATGGGTGCAAATATGGTGGATTCATTAAACAGAGAGTACTCATGATATATTTATGATACAAAATATAAAAAATAAATGTTTTTTTATTTTTTAATTAACTTAATAAAACTTAAATGACTTTTACGAAACAAAAGATAGAAAAAGAGTAATATGCGCGTGACAAATTTTAAATTGAACTGTTTTTATGTTACAAAAAAGTAGGATTACAATTTTTGTGTGAAAAACTTAAACTTGGATGCTCACTAGTGAAATTTATCCTGAAAAATTGTGTGCAGATATTTATGAAATATAAGGTGTGCATAACTGCGAGCTTAGAATAATTATTAAATTATATTATGTACATTGATGATAACTAGGTTAGGGAGATGTCAAATTTAAAATTGATTAATGCAAAAGAAAAAATACAGAGCAATCTCAAAAATTAGAAATAAGAATAAGCAAAATTTAAAGGAACAACACAAGAACTTTCAAAGACGTGATGTTTAAAATTCTTCACAAGATCCAAATAAAAACTATAGATTATGAAAAGACCTATAATGTTTTACTTGAGAAAATGAATCAAAATGATGTATCTTAAGATGACAGTTAGTATGTAGAAAATAGAAATTAATTGTTTTATTAAAAAAGACTAATAAGGAATCATTCATATATATATATATATATATATATATATATATATATATATATAAAGTGGGAAGCTCCAAAGTAAAAAGTTGAATTATCATTTTGCCCTTTTACTAAATTAAAATTGGATTAATATAAATATATTAATTACATAATGGCAGAATTTAAGTCCTCTAGCCCTTTAATAATTAAATTACTATTTTCTTGATAATGAGTACATTAATATTATTTTTAATCTTAATCATAATTCTCATAATGGAAAAATTTGAAAAGTTATGATAAATAAAAATAATGTATCCATCATAATATCATATACCATCCATATGTTATATTATTATTATTTTATTTTTTATTATCGTATATGATCATATCATATTATGTAATTGTTAATTTATTTTATGTTATAAATGGGAAGATGTTTTGTCTAAAGTTGGATTAAGAAAAGGCCCTTCAACTTTTTAAGTATCATTATCATATTATTATAAATAATAATTAATTATTATTCTATAAGTGTGAAACTCTTTAAGTTGAATGACTATTTAACTCTTCAAGAAATCACAATTAAAGTTGAATAACTTTTAAATTTTACAAGAAATCACCATTAAAGTTGAATGATTTTTTAACTCTTCAAGAAATCACTATAAATAAGTCTCTTAAAGGTTGTCTTTTGATGACAATATTGTACATTTGAATTTGGTTTAGAGAGCATAAAGCTCTTATCATACTATATTTTTTCAAGTCTTCTTTACATTTAAATTTTTCATTTTTTGCTATCATTCAAATTATATTCTTAAATTGATATCTAAATGCTCTCATATGAAAATATACTGCTAAAAATTTTGATTTTACGAACTTATGATGTAATCTTTTTCTCATGTATAAATCAGATGTGATTCTTTTGCAGATCATTGAATAGAACTTTTAATAGAAATTGCGCCAATACAAATAAGGTATGCGGCATATCTCTCCAACAATTTTGCTTTTTTTTGCATGATTACTTTTTAATAAATTTGACATACATACGATTATTGTATTTTTAATTAGATTTTAATAACTTAATGCATGTGTATTTTACAAAGTAGAGTCTCCTTGATAACTTTAGTTTAAAATAATGACTGATTGAAATTTATTTTTCTTCAATCTCCCAACTTCCGAGGTAAAAAAGATGACTAATGTTTCTTCCTCAATAACATAAAGTATAAGAAATCGAGAAAATCTATGACGAAGACATATTCTAACAAATGAGCTAATTTATTTTAATATGAAGGAGTTTTTAAAACTCAAATATGAATAATAAAGTAAGAGAAATAAAAAGGATGAAAAACTTGAAATATTATAGAAAGTATGAAAAATAACCATGAACAAACTATTGAAATTTTTTGTTCATGCTACAAAGGAGAATAGACACACTATGTCATTTGAATATAATATGAAGACAACATATTACTTGTTACAAGTACATATGGTGATTCGAACATTGGTACAAATTGAGAAGGTGTCTTATGCGTGTATCTTTCTTAAAAAAGTAACAAACTAATATACTGTAGGTTTCGACCTAATAATATAAAAATGTAAATTATTCATCACATTAAATTCTGTTGTCCAAATTTTTTAGGTCATCTGAATATCTAATTATTTGGCATTTACATTTTACAATAATGAAGTCATTTATATAGGTTGATTGTTCATTTATATTTTTTCGTTAAATCATTTTTGAAATTCTTCAAATGTGATTTTGATAGTTTTTGTTAAAAATTCATTTTTGTTTAATGCAATTTTAATATTGCTCCTACCATATACAACATTTTTGTGGGACTCACGTGCAAAGCACGTATCCACGACTACTATATATATATCACAAGAGGAAATTATCTTGTATCTTATATGAAACTAAAAAAGATAAAATCGAAGCATGCACTACAACATTTTACGTCTACAACCACCCTAGAAAAGTGTGGCCTAAACTATAAAAAAGTGTAGCCTTTGATAAATGACCACACTTTTTGACTTTAAGCCACACTTTTTCAGGGGTGGCTGAAAATCCCATAACCTTAGAGTTTAGGAAATACTTTTAAAGTATTGCCTTAGCAGCTACGAGTAAAATCATTGCCAAAAAACAAAAGGTCACGCTTTTGCAGCTACACTTAAAAGTGTTGCCTTATCAGCTACACTTTTAAGCGTAGCCTTAAAGGCAAAAAAACCACGCTTTTCAGCTACGCTTAAAAGTGTGGCCTTAGCAGCGACACTTTCAACCGTAGCCTAATAAGCAAAAAGGCCACACGTTTCAGCTATGTTTAAAAGTGTTCCCTAACTACTAAATTTTAAGTGTGGCCTTTGCTACCATATTGCCCACAATTATGAAGTGTTGCCTTTTATATCTAATATATGACAACACTTTGAAGTGTAGTCTTTGCCCATATGCATACACAATTTATATACCACAATTTCTAAGTAAAATACACCAATATTGTTTTTCAATAAATAATCTCAAGCATTAAGTACTCTTACAAATTTATAGATTTTCCATAAACTTCAAAACATGATATGTGTTGTGTACATACACATATTTATAAAGCAATACTCTAAATGTGTACACAATAGTTCAAAAAATACTCTTACAATAGTTCAATATATTCCACCAATGAATATATTTCACAAAATCAAATATAATATATTCAAACTTCTACAATAGTTCAAAAAAACTCTTCATCATCCAATTCAAATTTGTTCACCTCCATTTCCCTGCACAAATCAAATTGCGATGGTTACAGAATAGGCAAAAAGTTTCATATTGCAACATTTATTGAAAAGACAAGAAGTCAAGATTGCAGTAGTTTATATAATCATTCATGCTTTAAATATCTGTTACTCTCAATTTACTGTTTAGAGGTAATATTACTCAATTTGCAAAGTGTACTTACTACTAAGGAACTTGAAAACTACATACTGTATTCCAGATTGCAAAACTATTTTCCTTGAAGGCAAACTGCCCAACTTGCCCAATTATTCCATATTGCATAAACAGTAATAAGATTGCAACTATTTTCCTTGAAGGCAAATGCTTTTTAGCTTGAGATGAGCCAGATTGCAACTATATTCAACAGAAACTATAGCACTCCAGAGAGCCAGATTATAGCAATAAATAGTTCCACACTTACCTAACTTCCTTAAGATGATTCTCGATTACAATCAATAGTGAAAAAGGTAACAAAAGTGTAAAAGTAATTGGTAGCATCACAAGCCCATAAATATAAAAAAAAAGATAGAAGTCGTTTGAATTCCAACCATACCAAACAAGCCACTAACAGAACCTTCATTTTTGGGTGGTTCCCTACTATTACTATATGATGTCACTCAATTGTTTGTGTTGTTAAAACTGCAATGATTGATGTTACAAAACTACAGTTACATTATCATCAATCGAATCATTACTGCTTTGATTTTTTAAATAAAGCAGAACAAAATGCAAACACATACTAGTATTGGCATTGAAATTTGAACAGTTCCAATTACAGCGCCTCATTTCAAACACATGTCTAATTGATAAAGTTACCAGCAAATAACAGAAGGAAAACTAAGACTTCAAAACTCACCTTCCAGAACTTGATGAAAAATGCCCATTCAGTCTCCGCAACAACCACAATAACCGCAATCACCACAGCATAACACCGGAAAATTCCATCAAATACCTAGAAAATTTTGCAATTAGATGTCAATCAGTACATCTAATTGCAGATTGGTAGAGCAACCGGAACTCAACTGAAGCTACAACTCATTATAGTTTCTGCTCAACTATTCACTTACTATAACTTTTAATTTTGGTAAACTACAGATATTTCAGCTGCACTTCTTCGGAGCAGGAGTTAGTAATAATCGAGGCTTGTGGGTTGATACATCGAAAAATTGTGAAGTATAAAGAGATGTGATTTTAGTGTTTTCATTCTTAAATGACTTGTAACATTCATGATGTACACTATTGATATGCCATTAAGAACTTTTTTTTATATATATAATTGTAAACTAAGAAAAATTCACATTGTGTTATTGAGGAAAGAGATAGAGTTTCAGAGAAGAAAAGCAGCAATAAGAGCAGAAAGAAACAGGTAAGAAAGGAAGAAGAGAAGATTATGAACAACAACAAGTATGAAAAAGAAACAGCATGCCAAATAAGAAAAGGGCAAACACAAAGTATAAAGCAAGTGAGGGAATTAGAGGGAGTTCAAAATACAATACAAAACCCAAAAACAGAAATCTAAGCAAACCATGAAAAAGGTTAAATTTTTCTTAAAACCTTCAGAAGGGTTTAAGATGGGGTTTTCAGTACGTATTAGGAATATTAGATAGAAAGGGAAACATAAATCTAACTTCAAAAGACTTAAATGTGTTGCATTCACTTTGCTAATTAGAATGAGTGGTGAACTAATCATTAGCTTCAAGAAAGATAGGAGAGAGTAACATACCGAGGATCGGAGAGAGTAACATACAGAGGATTAATTTCATTGTGCTGCCTTCACTGCTTTTACTGTGCTGCCTGTAATGTCCAATGCCTGATAGTAATAAGAAAAAGTAAGTATTTAGATGACAACAACAATTCACATTTACTGATCAGAAAGCAATTTCATAATTGTAACATGAATACTCCAGATATTACTAACCTTAGTCATAGACATCTTAAGATATTTGTACAAAAAACAGTCAGATGACCAAAAGAGTAAGTTAGCACTATATGGTCATCACAAAAATAATAAAGATCATGGTGTGTCATCATCAAACTCATCTTCGAATTCATCTTCTGACTCATCTACAGAATCATCTTCATACTCACTTTCAGACTCATCTTCAAACTCCTTTTTAAACTCATCTTCAAACTCCTTTTCATACTCGACCTCAAGTTGCTGATTATCAAATTCCTCTGAAGGCACATCAATAACAGTTTCTGGTATATTAGTCCATATTAATTACCTGTCATCACAAATACGTTTTAAATGTCATGAGTAAGTTATCATATTCAGGTTTGATGAGATGATAAAATTTTCTTACCTAGTCATGGCTCTTGTGCTATGCCAAATCAAACCTTGAATCCTCCAAAAATATTTCTATATGTTGATTATACTTCTAAGGAAAACAAAGTAAAAATTAATCGAATAGACACAATTTAGAAGGAAAGTAAACAAATAGGATAGACACAATTAAATGTACTAATCAAGATTAAAAAATTCTATCGAGAAGCATTTTCAAGTTTGCAGATTTGAAGGAAAGAAATTCTCCACTTTATTTATAAGACCAAAAGTAAAAACACAAGCTTGAAACTACAGATCTGCAGATTTGCATATTGCGCATTTGCATATATACAATTTTTTCACTAAATATAGAACAACAAGATACCACAACACATTTTTAAGATGCAACATAGATCTGCAGATTTACATGTTGCACATTTTTAAGCCCAAGCACGAATAACTCTCCTAATACAGGTATACTTGTTGATACCACTAACGATTCACATGATATTTTGCAAGAACCCAAGCTACTGTCCATAAAATACAGAACACAAACTCAAAATAGGAGAATCATCAAAATGGTAAGTCTTCAACCTCTAACTCTATGCTCGACCAGTTTACTCATGATCAAAGAAAGAAAATTTTGAAATTACTATATTTGATAAAAAAAAAATTGAAATTATAAGAGACCATATGAAGGTTTTCTTGATAGAAATGGTACATTTGTCTGTTTGACATACAAAGCTAAAGGTACTCGTCTACAAAATTTTGTTATTCCAACTAGTTTGAGATTTCAAGAAAATTGAATTGCAGATGACAATAGCTCGCTCTCCTAAAACCTTTATATCACAGTTCTATTTATTGACAATAGAAGATTACGTCGCTTTAGGCTCTTCTAATTACAGAACCATTCACATTTCCTATATGTTGATGAAATACACATTTCAAGGAAACTAAATTTAATGATATTGGCCATAGATTTAAAATGCAGAAACTTGATATCAATAAACAATATCAATACTTCAAATGAAATCGTTAATGCTTGTACGACAACTTAAATAAGCATATGATTGATATAAAAAGAACCAAGTTTCCAAAACTATGGTGAAATCAACGTTACCTTAAAGCTTTTGCTATACATATTTTCTTACAGATAAGTGTATTTCTTCTCTCATTTTTATAGAGGATATATGGCACCAAAATATGCAATGTGTGGCTACTTAACACCAAAAGCAGACATTTACAGCTTTGGGGTTGTTACACTTGAAATTGTGAGCGAGAGAAACAGTGATAGTTGTAGGCCAAGTGATCAGACATTTTACCTTCTTGATTTGGTAAAGCCTCAAACGAGAAGTTTCCAATTTCATTCATTGATGCACATGCCTAATAAACAGTTGCCATTGTCTTTTTACTTGAATTCCTTTTCTAATTTGATCGATATATGTTGGTTCAATTGCAGGCTTATGTGTTGCAAGAGCAGGGATATTTGATGATCCAAAACATGGAACAGATTATTCTTAATGGAATTAGCAATGATGGTTAGCAGTATCGTTATATTTTCTTTTTTCAGAAAGAAGGAACTTTGTCAAATCTAACCATTTAAGGGCTCCATCAGAACTGTTTAGCTATCAACAACACAAAAGCAGAAGAGTATAAGACTCGTTTTTAAGGCTCAGGGCATTTAGAAATCAACTAACAAAGCTAAATTACGAGCTAGACTCCCAAAAATTGTATAAAAACACAAGAATATCAAAACCCTAAAGCTAAAATTTAGACTTTCAAAGATAGAATTCTTACCCGGTAAACCCTAAATTTGTCTGAAATCAAGTTCTGCAACAAGAAATCTGAGAGAAAAGTGTGACAGAGAGACTTAACTTCAGTTCATCTTGCCAACGACCCCAATCAATTCCTTCTAAACAAAAAAAAATTCTTTCAATATGAAGAAGCTTGATGAAATCTTCAGCTCTTACCTTGACGAAATCTTCAGTTCGGAGAAGAGAAAGCTCGGTTAGCTCGGTAGTTCTACAGCTCGATCTTCAGTTTGATCTTCAGCTCGGAGAAAAGAGATTGTGAGTTCTTCAGCTCGGAGAAAGAAAGGGAAGCGTGACTTGAATAAAAGTAGTCTATAGTATTAGTGTGTGGTTGTAGACCTATAGTAATGTCAACAATTAATAAAACTTACATGATATCTAGACAATAAAAGATGTGATTGAGAATTTACTAACCTCTCGAAGCTATTGCACAATTCATCCAAGCAAAACTATTCAGATATGCAACTTTTCATTAAATTCGGACCAAGTTCTCCAATGAGGGAGCCTTTTTCCCCCAAAAAGATTGTGTGCATTTTTGAGGTTTTATATCATTCAAAACGTTACAAATGTGACTCCAGAATACCAATTTAATATAGTCAAAACACGTAAAGTTACTGCTTCTACAACATTCTTTTTCTTTTCAATATTCATTAATTAATCAGGCATACTATGTACCATAAATTCAATTATTGAGTCTTCCAATTAGGTTGTTGATTTGTAAATGAATGAATTAATTCTACCGTGATAAATTACAGATTATTTCACTAAAAAACTGTAATTATATTGCTCGATTTTTAATTTTGAAATCTATATTAAATTTTATTTAACTCCCTATATTAAAATTACCGGTATTAATCAATTAAATTACATTTATAACAATTTAATTTGTTGATTAATTTAATTCTTTATTATTATACTTAACTTATTTCATGGTGGATGTTACATGACATTATATGCAATCATAAAGGGGCATCATGAATCTCAAGGTTGAGACATGAATTCATATCAACTAATGATTTTATAATTAATGTAATGTATTATCATCCAATTTATCAGGAATGTATTAACCCATAATAGAGTTTCACATTTTGATAGATCAAGATAATAAAACAAATTACTTTGATCATACAATTACATCAAAATTAAGATTATAAATATATTTAATAATCTAGAGAAGTTGTTTATAAATATTCAGAATATAAACAAGCATCCCTACTTGATCCGTTCAATATATATATATATATATATATATATATATATATATATAAAATAAAAATATCAGCACAAAAATTAGGAATGGAGCTATTTCTGTAGTTAAGATCAAATTATATCTGCACAAAAATTAGGAATGGAGCTGTTTCTATAGTCAAGATCAAATTATATTTAAATTTCTATTACAATCATCAAGATGTTTGTATAACTTTATCTTTGATTTTGAACATAAATTTGTAATTTATAAGGATCGACAATTTTAATCTTTCTTGAATGAGCTAAATGACCATATACTAAATTATCTACCATATATAAGTGAATGGCATATATACTAAAACAATGATATATTCAAACAAAATTTTATTAAATCAAGTAAATAAAATAAACATTCTTTACATAGAATGAAAATATAATAGTATACCTTAAACAACATGACTAGTAATACATTCGAACAATCTCTCACTTAGAATTATAACTATGCACTCACAACTCTACCACACATTCCTTCACATGATTATCAAACATTTTCGACGTTAATTCTCACACATTCCTTCACATGATTATCAAACATTTTCGACGTTAATACTCTTTGTAAATAGATATCCTAAATTATTTTTTTACTCCATTTTCAAAACTCTCACATAACCACCTCTGAGTTATGTCTCAAATCAAGTAATGTTTCCTCTTAATATGTTTGTTTTTCTTATGACTTTGGTTCTTTTTATTATTAATTAGGAGATTAAAAATTTTAAAAAGGAGAACTTTTATGGTAAAGGACTCTTGAATGAGTTGATTATAAATGACTATTGTCATCTTTATGTATATTTGTATAGGAATAATTTTAGATTCTATTCTATATACATTTATAAAATTAATCTAGATAACTTTATTTACTAACTATCTAAAAACTTCTAAAATTTCTAGATATATTTTAAAATACTTATCTAAGATGCTACAATGGGTTATTCAAGAGCTTCTCTGAAAACATAGGACTTTTTTGTAGTTCCTAGAAATGAACTTGAGTTTTTTCATAAAAAGTTCACCAAATAATTCACAAGATTATGTTATTTAGATTCATAAAAAATGTCATTAAATGTTTGTTGGAATCTTTTAACACGCTATGATTATAATTTTAAAATTTTCAAGCAATATAACTTTTGAACGTAGAGTTCAAAATCAATTGTGATAAGTAAAACTCTTTTAATTTTACCTTTGACATATTATATCAACTAGTAATCAAATACTCCAAACTTATTTTTATTGCTTCCTATGGACATCTAACGTTATTGGGGCATATGAATTTTGAAAATATTCTAGGTTAACGTGTTAAATTAATATAATAAAAATAAATTAATATATCTAAAAGTTGAAGTATATACGAGATGCAGAACACCAATCTGGCATCAGTCCAGCTGGACAAATTCAGTTATTTTCAATCCTTATAGTATGAAAACAACAAAGAAATTGAACAAGACATGTGCCGCTAAATGGCAGAACCGACTAACTCTAATAATTTGATCAATTGTCAACTTTATAGTTCTCCTTCACTCACCAACCACCTTGTTCTCAACTTCTTTACTTCCCCACATACTTGAAACTTCAAAATTTGAAAATTTGTAGTCCATTAAATTGTCAAGTTGATTTTCTTGAAACATAATCCTATTTCCATATTTGCAACATATGGCTCTCTGTTTCATTTCCTCTGTTTTCGCTCTGTTGTTACTGTTTGTAGCAGAACTTCATGTCTGTGTAGTTTATGGCAGTGTTATTTTGGGTTCAAGATTGTTAGCTAAAGAGAAACAAGCATGGCTTTCTAACAATGGAACTTTTGCTTTTGGCTTCACTCCTACAGTTGACTCTAATGATCAATATCAGTTGGCAATTTGGTTTGCACAAATACCAGGAGACAGAACACTTGTTTGGTCTCCTAATATGTAAGTGTAAAAAATTTTAAGTTGTATGTGCGTAGTGATGGAGTCCGAGTTTTCACTCAAAATATACAGAAATGAATAACACAGAGATTTAATATTTGCTATATGTACCTAAAAATAAAAAAATTGACTTTGTATATGTAGTGTAATTTACCATCTAAGGCAGTTTGCATGAACCTCCCTTGTGTCCTCCTAGCTCCGCTCTTGCTTATAAGGTTTTGTTAGGTAGTAATATCTTTATTGATATAAGCTTTATATTTTCGACACAGAACATAGATATATACGTGAAATTCTAGATCTGCATATGTTAGTAGGAGGAAAAGTTGTATGATCAAACTGTAGCTTTTCTTCATTAACTTTTCAAACACACGGAATCCATTCCAGCTTTAGAGGTTGCTTTTTTCTTTCAAAGAACAAGATTTGAGATTTTATGATGAAAGACAAGTTCTTGAAAACGTTCAGGAGGTAGATGTAAGTATGGAATTATAGATAAGAATTGTTAGGTCTGATTTTAGAGAAGGAACAAAGAAGAAAATATACCTCCACCTCTAGTTTTTAATAAAGATTTTGCAGGTAATATAACTTTTTGGCCATTTTGTGTCAATCCTCTAAATAGAAATTCCCCAGTCAGCAAAGATGCAATCTTGGAGTTTGACACCACAGGAAATCTCATGTTGATGGATGGAGACACCATAGTGTGGGCATCAAACACCTCGAAAGCAGGCGTTGAGTTGGCTGTCATGTCTGAAAATGGAAACTTCATTCTCTACAGCACCAACCTAAGTACTATTGCATGGCAAAGCTTTTCACATCCATCTGATACTCTCTTGCCTGGTCAATCCTTAACAGTATCACTAGAATTAACATCTTCAAAATCACCTTCTCATGGTCGTTACTACACTTTAAAAATGTTGCAGCAGCCTACTTCACTAAGCCTTGCATTGACCTATAATGTCCCCAACTCCTACGATTCATCGCCTGAATTTTACAGCAATTTTTCTTATTGGTCAAGACCTGAAATATCAAATGTGACTGGAGATGTTACTGCTGTATTGGATAAAGCAGGAAGCTTTGGTATAGTTTATGGCTCATCTTCAGATGGAGCAGTTTATGTATATAAAAATGATGGAGATTATGGAGGACTATCATCGGCTGTAAATCAAACGAATTCCAATGCTCCATCTATTCTTCATCGATTAACCCTTGAGGTTTATGGAAATTTACGTTTGTATCGATGGGATAATGATGTGAATGGATCAAGGCAATGGGTTCCAGAGTGGGCAGCTGTGTCTAATCCATGTGATATTTCTGGAGTTTGTGGCAGTGGGATATGTAATTTAGATAGAAGCAAAACAAATGCTTCTTGCACATGTTTGCCAGGGACTTCTACGGAGGGAAATGATGTTTCATGTTTGGGAAATTTTTCAGTGACAGGGAAATGTGGACCTCAGCATGAAAACTTGATGTCCCAGTTCAAGATTTCTAGGGTTCAGAAAATAAATTATTATTTCTCAGAATCATCTGTCATAGGAAATTATAGTGATAAAGGGACACTGTCCAAATGTGGTGATGCTTGCTTATCAAACTGTGATTGTGTTGCTTCTGTTTATGGACTTAGTGAGGAAAAGGCTTATTGTTGGTTACTCAGGAGCTTGGAATTTGGTGAATTTGAGGATCCTGTTTCGACTTTATTTGTGAAGGTTGAGGCCAATGCCAGGGTATCTGGAAAACCTGGGAATTCATCAGATGAGTCGAAGAGTAGGCACGATAAGGTTTTGGTACTTCCTATAGTCCTGAGTATCTCATTTTGCTTCTCTGTTGCTTGTTGTTTATCAATATCCATAGAAGAAGATCTATGAGAAGGGCACTTGAGGGCTCTTTGCTGTTGTCTGGAGCTCCAATTAGCTTCAGCTACCGCGACCTGCAATGTTGGACTAACAATTTTTCCAAGTTACTTGGAACAGGTAAATATATGGAATTTTTATTACTTTTATGCTATTAACCTCTCGACTATAGAAACCCAAGCACAGAAAACTGGTCTGTTTCAAATAAGGTAAGAATATGATCAGTAACATTGCTGCTTTGACAGGTGGATTTGGAAGTGTGTATAAAGGAAGTTTAAAGGATGCAACATTGATTGCAGTAAAGAAACTTGATAAAGTTTCACCTCATGGGGAGAAGGAATTTATAACAGAGGTCAAAACCATTGGCTCTATGCATCATCTGAACTTGGTTCGTCTATGCGGATACTGTTCTGAGGGAATTCAACGGTAAGTTTAACTTTTCTTCACTGTAATTTGTGATATATAGATTGGGAAGTATGTAGAATTGTAGAATCACAGTCAAGGACTAGCACAACTTTCACTAAAATTTTCACTCTTTGGCAGGCTACTAGTTTATGAGTACATGAAAAATGGTTCATTAGACAAGTGGATATTTCATTCATTTAGTACAAGAAATAGACTACTGGATTGGGCGTCACGTTTTCGCATAGCAGTTGGCACTGCACAAGGGATAGCCTATTTTCATGAGCAATGTAGGAACAGAATAATACACTGTGACATCAAACCAGAAAACATACTTCTGGATGAGAATTTCTGCCCTAAAGTATCTGATTTTGGACTAGCTAAGTTAATGGGAAGAGAGCACTCTCATGTTGTCACAATGATCCGAGGAACGAGAGGTTGTTTAGCCCCCGAGTGGGTCAGCAATCGACCTATCACTGTAAAAGTTGATGTTTACAGCTATGGCATGCTTCTTCTAGAGATTATTGGTGGTCAGAGAAATCTTGATATGACTTGTGATGCAGATGACTTCTTTTATCCTGGATGGGCTTACAAGGTACACATAAAATTCCTCTACTTATATTCATAGTGTTCCCTCCTTTGACATGTTCTCTTCACTATTTTTCTTTTCTTTTATTTCAGGAGATGATAAGTGGAACACCCGTAAAAGTTGTAGATAGGCGACTTGGAGGAGCAGTAGATGAAAAAGAGGTAACGAGAGCACTGATGGTTGCCTTCTGGTGTATTCAGGATGAAGTGTCAAATAGGCCTTCCATGGGAGAAGTGGTGAAGATGTTGGAAGGATCAGTTGACATGAATATGCCACCAATGCCACAGACAGTTTTGGAGTTGATAGAGGAAGGCTTAGATCAAGTATACAAGGCAATGAAGAGGGAACTCAATCAGTACAGTTCCTTCTCCATTGCTACTCATCCATCATCTTATGCTACATGCAGTCACTCCAGTATGTCACCTAGATAGTTGAAGATGAAATCGAACACAGTTTTCCCTAGGATTAAGCAATCATATCATAATTGATTATTCATTCCCTGTCTCCCAAAAGAAGTCCCAGAAAAAGAAGGGAACACAACCACTTTTGTATCATGTGTTGCTACAACACCATACACATTGCAAGAACTCACTGTCGTGCTTTATTGTTTTATTTCACTCAATTCTCTAGTCTCTCAGATATCTCCACCAAGTCCTCTGTGTATAGATCCTTTCTATCTCTTTTTCGGTTTCTTTTATACTACTAATGTAAAAATTTACAACCGTAATCAGATCATATCGACTTCCAAACCATCCAACAACAGCTAGTAAGTAGTGAATATATTTAACCAGAGGGTTAGAGCCTGCTGGGAGTTGCCTTTGTTATAGAGAACACATTACTCAGGTTAGAACCCTGTTGGGAGTTGCCTTTATTAGAGAATGCTTTACTCCCAATATAGGACTTCCCAACTGAAATTACCAGCTGAATCCTAATCAAATTTAGGAGCAAATATGAAGTTGTTTCACAGTTGAAGATTTTATAGTGTATTACTGAAGATTGGCAAAGTGAGTGTTTAGTGAGCAATGTAAAAGAAAGGATTAGAGGTGATTTTTGTGCGTTTAACAGCTAAATTGAAGATTGGAAGGTGTAAAGAATTTCATTCATAATACAGGAAGATTGTACGTTTATGACCCTGAAAAAAGACTTTGCTAGCATGCCTAAATAAAACCTGTTAAAATCAAGAAAATTGGTAGGCTAAAGCTACTAAGCTGCAGTTGGTTAGCTCACTGCATATTGAACCTTCGTGGTGTTAACAGCCTACAGAAGTTATGCACTAACATTTAGAGAAAGATCCGATTTCTTTCACCTAGCCAGTGGAATAGTTGAGGTACACAATCTTGCCAGATTCCTAATCTTGATATACATCAAAATAAACCACCATTGAGTTCAATGCTTCCCCTCAATGGGCTGATTGAGGTAGCAATTAGGCAACACATGTGAAGTTTGATGCACCTCAGAATGTATTGCGGATCTGCACTTTGCTTCAATGTGATTGCGGTGAGTGATAATGAGACCAGTACTCTTTAACGAGCTTCCCAAAGAGTGAACCTTCATTCTTCATAAGATTCATAGGTTTATCATACTCCACTAGTTTTCCTGTATTATAGCAACCAAAAGCAAGTCATGGGGATAAAATTTTGAGATCAACATATTCTTTGAACTATTAAGTGAGTATTCAAAAGTAAACAGACAGATCCTACCGTCACTAATGGCCAGAACCATTGTACAATCCATTACTGTTGGTATTCTATGGGCAACTGTAATTACAGTACAGTTAGCAAATTCCGTCCTGATAGTTTTCTGCAATATCATATCGGTGGCATTGTCAATTGATGTTGTCGCTTCATCAAGCACCAAAATCTTGCTTTTCCTCAAAAGAGCACGCCCCAAACAGAACAGCTGTCGCAGCCCCATGCTCCAGTTTGACCCGTCTTCTACAACTGAAATGAGTATATGGTCAATAACAACCACTGGTATAAAACAACCTGACATGTTCAAAAGATTACCCAAGGAATCAAGCCCTTAATCTTTTTCCTTAACTGCCTCTTGTAGCTGACATTTCCCAAGAACCTTTGACAGTGAAGATAAAAATGATAATAAATAACTAGAAAAAAGCTATGCTATTTATCAACTGATGCTAAAAAATAGTGGCCAAGTACACTACCTGCCAAATTTCCTGGTCAGTATGCTGACATAGGGGATCTAAATTGTATCTCACTGTTCCATTGAAAAGAGTAGGATCCTGAGGTATTACCCCGAAACGGGACCTCAAATCATGAAGACCAATTTTACAAATGTCTACTCCATCAACCACAATCCTTCCACCTGCAGGCTCCACTAGTCGGAATAGTGCACTTATGAGTGTACTCTTCCCACTGGCAGTTCGTCCAACAATACCAACTTTATGACCTCCTTCAAATGTACAGTTGATCCCCCTAAGAACAAGTCTGGAATCCTTCCAATATCTTATCTACTTTGAGGCATGCGCATTAGTATGTTTAACATCCCAAAAGATTGAAAATTAGGGCAGATGATGAAGTTACCTGCAAATCATGAATTTCAACTTTACCCCTCGAAGGCCAATTGACTGGGGGACGGTTCTCTTTTAAAATTTCAGGAGCTTCACTTGGTATATGCATATATTGGTTAAGTCTTTCCACAGAAATGATATAGTTCACCAAAGTGCATTGATATTGAATGGAAGAAACAAGGGTTATGTTTAGGGAAAGACCATAAGATAAAGCCATCCCAATAAATCCTGCAATAATATTAACAGGTATTAAGGAAGTAAATTGTGTATCACATAATGATCAAAGGTAAAGAAAAAATAGAAATATGAGATATTCTTTCTGATTCCAAGCATATAATTAGTTGATTAACGTGCCAGAGCTGAAAGTCCCAGGAGGAAGTAAAACCATGCAAAGTGCTGAGGAAGCAAGAACAATTGCACTAATAGTTTCCAGACGTTGAATCAGCCACTCATTTGCTACAAAATTGTGGAAGAAAGGACTGGCATTTATATCAATTAGTTCAAACGTTTTCACAAAAAATCTCTCTTCCTCCTTGAATGCCCTTATAGTCACAACTCCAGCAATGGCTTCAGCAAGATGGTTTGCCACAAATGATTTGGTAGTTCCATTGATCCGCATCAACTCTTTGGCAGATGCAAAGTAGTATCTCTGTGGAAAAAATTAGGAACCAAAAAAATACTAATTCATGATTTATCAGTTTGTCAGCTGGAAACACAGAATCAAACTTCCTTATTCCCCTAATATAACTAGTACCTGTAAGAGAATGGCCACATAAACCACAGGGATGGAGACAAGCAAAACTTGCCAAGTAACAACACCTAGTACTGTAAAATTAGAATAAAAGTTTGTGGTAGATGCAACCGCAAAAATCAAGTAGAATGGGACATCAAGATCAACTATACTCAAATCTGATGAGACCTGCAATAATGGGACGAGAAATGAAAATGTAGGAAAAATGTTTAGCTACAGGAAAATACTTAATAAGTATCATTTTTCTCTCAATTGTCACGTTTGAGATAATTACCCTGCTTAGTATCCTTCCCAAAGGTGTGGAATCATAAAATGACATAGGTGCACGGAAGAGAGAATTTAGTAGCTGTGAGAACAAGGACTTTGAAGATTGCAAACCCAAAAGAACAGTTGATAGAGATCTAGAAAGCAAAAATAGTGTGGATACAAATCCAATTAGCAAGTAAACTGAAATCAGTCTCAAAGTGCTAACTTCAGGATTTTCAACATTTGCAGCCATCCAGGAGTTCTGTAATATCTGACTGGCCACAAACGCAAGTTGCGAAACAACAGCTATGGCAAAGAACAAGTATCCTTTATTTTGATTCAAATACTGAACATAAGACTTAAATCCAGTGTCTCCAACTTCCCTCTCCTCTTGCTTGATCAACTGATCTCCTCCAGAGGTTTTTGGTTGTTCACCACTATCTTTATTTTTAATTTCTCTTGAACAAGTATCACTTCTTGGTGAATAAAAAGCCTCTGAAATCCTTTCTGAACCAACAGTCTCTTTGTGTGCATTAACCAAGTTTTGAAATTCTTTGCTCGAGGCCAATAACTGATCATATGAAGCTGAGCGTAAAATTTCTCCATCTGACATTAACTGCAAACCGAAGTAGATATATATATGTAACAATTTCATGTGAACATATAAAAAGATTTGGTTTTCTATTGAATACAAGCATGATCATTGCACACATAATTTCAAACGATCAATTCAACCAGAGGAGACACTATAATAACAGAGAGACGGGAGAGGAAGTGACAAAAGTCAAATTGGAGAGAGAACTGCATGGATAAAACTCACCAGAACCAAATTGAATGCAGGAAGAAAATCAACTTGATGAGTCACAAGTAAGATAGTTTTCCCGGAAAGAGCTCCCATGATGTATTCCTGCATAGGATCAATTGAGCTTGCAAATGGAAAGAAACGACAAGAATCACATCACTAAAGAAATGCTCACGTTGAAGAGGCTTGTCGAGGTATGGGCATCTACAGCACTAAAGGGATCATCCAAGAGATATATATCTGCATCATGATACAAAGCACGAGCAAGTTGAATTCTCTGCTTTTGTCCACCACTAAGATTGACTCCTCTTTCTCCTATTTCTGTGAGATCACCATAAGGTAGTATCTCGAAATCTTTAAACAGTGAACACTTCTCCAAGGTTTGCTGGTATCTCTGGCTATCCAATGGAGAACCGAACAATATATTCTCTTGTATTGTCCCTGTCTGAATCCATGCTGATTGAGAGACGTAGGCAGTTGTTCCATATACTTGAACCTGCAGATAACAGATAATATTGAACTTTGGTAAAACCGATATCATCATTATGCTAAACTTTAATCCTGCTTCTTATTACCTAACCCACTAGGAAAGAAGGAACCAACCATTACAACTTACTGTTCCTTGTATACTTGGAACCTCTCCCAGAATTGCTGACAGAAGATATGACTTTCCTAAGCCCACTTCCCCACATATAGCAATCTTCTCACCAGGTTTAACCTCAAGATTAATGTTTCTGAGTGTTGGTCGCGATGGGTTCTCTTCCCATGAAAGATTAGCAGATTTGATGAGTACAGCATGATTTGTGCTTCTGATGTGTTTTTGTCTCATTTCCAGCTCAGATGCCTCAAGGAACTTGACAATCCTCTCAAAGGAGACCTTTGCTTGAATTACCACACCAATAACGTCCGGAGCTGTTCTAACAGGCTCCTGAACCAGGCGTAAAGTTGCTACAAAGGTAAAATTAGTGGAATACCAAGGAAATAACAAGTCCCAAAAGTAGCAGCAGAAACCAAAACAGGAGATGACCAGAAAAGGAAGCTATTATATGATCTACGCAACTGAACAGCTGATAACCACTTTTCTTCTACTTGCCTCAAAATTCGGATAACATTTTTGAAATGGGCTTCCCATGCATATAATCTTAGAACCTTCATACTAACAAGAGCCTCAGAAATAGCTTTTAGCCTATCATCTTGTGCAACCATTAACTGGGTCTGGAACTTATGTTGTAACTTTGCAAGGGGAGTATTCCACAGCACAGTGAGTATAATCACTACCAAGGATGCAATAGTTGCTACACCAACAGCGTGAAAGAGAATTATAAGTACAAGGCAGAGCTGGACAGTTGTTGTCCAGGTTTGATGCAGCCAAAAAGGAAACTCTCCAATACGATA